GGTTAACAGCACTGGATTGGAAACCCGACAGAGGAGGCCAATCACATTTTTACCCCCGTGATTTTTAGCAAGTTACTAAACTGTTCCAAACCTCAGTGTTCCCATCTTGAAATGGGAATTTTAATTATTCCACATCAGAGGGTTGCTGTAAGGTTAAAATGTGAGCACATGCCCCAGAGCCTGGCCCATAGTGATGGCCTAATAATAATTAATAATAATAATAACTGGTACCATGTTTTTTTTTTTTTTTTAAAGATTTTATTTATTTATTTGACAGAGAAAGACACAGCGAGGGAGGGAACACAAGCAGGGGGAGTGGGAGAGGGAGAAGCAGACTCCCTGCCGAGCAGGGAGCCCGGTGCGGGACTCGATCCAGGGACTCCAGGATCATGACCTGAGCTGAAGGCAGTCGCTCAACCAACTGAGCCACCCAGGCGCCCTGGTACCATGTTTTGACATGCCCCTGGGCATCCCCAACTTCCAGATAAAATGACTGAGACTTAAGTAAGACCAGGAGAGGTTAATGACAGCAGTTTGTATTATTAAAGCTTCTCTGCCAATCACTCAGTTCATTTTACTCCTTCAGCCTCCTTTTTTCTATCTTCAGGTAAGAGCAATTCCTACATTCATATGTTGTGAAGATTGAAAGGATATAAAGTACTCTGAGGATGAGCAACTTGTTTTATTTTAAGGAATTTGGGACTATTCCTTAGTTATTAACTCCTGGCATTACTTATTTCATACGTTTGAAAAAGCCTTACACTTGGACACTTTGTTTTGCAAAGTGCTAAAAGCTCTGGAAATTGGCTCTCAGTTTCTTAAATAAGGACTTTGTAAACTCAGAGAAACCATTGAGAATGGTTTCTCTAAGCTAAAGAAAGTTCATGTTGTCTGAAGTGTGGCATATGGGGCAAAATGTTTCATAAATATTGTCTTCTTTTTTTTTTAATTTTTTTTCATTTGAGTATAGTTGATGCATATTGTTACATTACTTGCAGGTGTACAACCTAGTAATTTGACATCTCCCTACATCACCCACTCACCACATGCATAGTTACAGTTTGTCACCCTATAACACTATTACAATATCATGGACCATAGTCCCTATGTCGTGCCCTTTATTCCCATGACTTATTCAATAACTGGAAGCCTATATCTCTTACTCCTTTCACCCATTTTGCTCATCCCCACCCCACGCCTTCCCTTTGGCAACCATCAGTTTGTTCTCTGAAGCTATAGGTCTGATTCAGCTTTTTGTTTGTTTATTCATTTGTCTTTGTTTTGTTTTGTTTTTTTAGATTTCACATATTAGTGAAATTGCATAGTATTTGCCTTTCTCCGTCTGACTTACTTCACTAAGTACATTACCCTCCAGGTCCATCATGTTGTCACAAATGGCAAGATCTCATCCTTTTTTTTTTTACAGCTGAGTAATATTCCATTATATAGACACTTAGGCTGCTTCCGTATCTTGGCCCTTGTAAATAATGCTGCAATAAACATAATGGTGCAGATATCTTTTCGAATGAGTGTTTTCATTTTCTTTGGGTAGATACCCAGTAGTGGAATTATTGGATCATTTGGCATTTTTACTTTTGATCATTAGGACATTTAACAGTTTGTGAGTTAACATAAAGGCACAGTGAAGCCTGGGTATGGCCCACCTTCCTCGCTTGGATTGGTTGCCAGCCCTGTGGGGTCTCAGAGGGTGGACAGCATGTGAGACAGGGAGGGAGAGTAGCTGAGACGTTGCCGCGGTTGCTGCGGATAATAATGGTAATGACAATTACAAAAGTGACACTTCACCTATCATTTGCTCTATGCCTTGTGCCTCTCCCTTTTCCCCTTCTGGTTTGGGAAGTATAGGCTTAATTCTGTGCCATATCATAGAAGTCAGAAAGTGACATGAATTTCCAAGCTGGCTCAGCTTGATTGGTGACAGAGGTGGGATTTGAACTCCGATCCATCTGACTTCAGAGCCTAAGCTCTTAGATTCTGCAGTTTTGTGTCTTCTCCACTTTTTTGCCATTGCAGAAGCCAACTGAAACTGACAAGAAAACCCCTTCCCTCCATCTGCTTTCCCTTCATAAAGAAGGAGCAGAGACTATTCCCTCCCTGCTCTCCACTCGTTAATCAAAACAGGCTTACTGGATGCAAAGAAATGAAGGGAGGAAAAGAATACATAAATCAAAAATACAAAAAAAGTTGCCAGAGATCATGTCAGCTGCTGTGATACAGAATGACAGTGGACATGGGGCTTGGGGATGGTCTCTGTGAGGACAAAGCAGTTGCTTTAAGACCTAGAAGTTAAGAAGGAGCCAGTCTCTTGGAGAGTGGTCCAGAAGGGGGAGCTATTTGCATGGCTAACTTACTTAACTTTTCAGTGTTTCATTCTCTTCATCTGTAAAATGAGGATAATGATAGTAATGAGCTTCAAGGTAAGATGATGAGGATTTAATGAACTCAATGTAAAATGCTCGCATCATTGCCCAGCTTGCATTTTTATTTCATGGCCGTCTCTGCCTCTAGTCCTTGGGTAGTGGTGGCATGAGCTGTCTGTATTCCTCCCTCTGTCAATCTGTGTCTTAAAACTCAGCCCTTCACTGGCTTTCATCAAAACAAACAAACCAACAACAACAACAACAAAAACACCACAAGCAAACAAATTAACAATAATCAAAAGCATATTAATAAATGATAAAAACAATTTCATTCTTACGAAGCATTAACAAATTTTTTTAAAAAGATTTTATTTATTTATTTGAAAGAGAGAGAGAGAGCATGAGAGAGGGGAGGGTCAGAGGAAGAAACAGACTCCCTGCTGAGCAGGGAGCCCGATGCGGGGCTCAATCCTGGGACCCTGGGATCATGACCTGAGCTGAAGGCAGATGCTTAACCGACTGAGCCACCCAGGCACTCTCATTCATCAATGTTTAAAGTCCACTTTACTGAAGACTTGGGGATCACAAGGGGGAGTGACGTTAGCACTCAGAGATCCATCATCTTGTGCGTTTCCTCTTTTCTTCCTTTCCTCTGTCTGCCTCTCTAGAGCAAGACTTTCTTTCCCCATCTCATGCACAGATGTTTAGCTTCTTTGTGGCTTGAGCATGGCGTAAGTGCTCCTTCTGTGTGCATTGCAATATTTTTCCCAAACAGAGGTGGTGCTGTTACTAGGAAACCTGGTTTTGTTAGGCTCCGTCTTGCTATGCTGTAGTAACAAACATCTCTGAGATCTCAGTGGCTTAAAACAAGGAAGATTGATTGGTTGCCCATATCATTGTCTTTTGTGGGTTTGGGTGACTTTTTTTTTTTTATTTGGGTGTAGCTGACTCACAATGTTACAGTGGCTTCAGGGGTACAACATAGTGGTTCACCATCTCTATACCTTATGCTGTGCTCATGACAAGTGTAGCTACCATCTGTCAACATGCAACACTATTACAATATTATTGACTATATCACCTAAGATGTAGGTTTGGGTGACTTTTTAGGGCGACCCCCCTGCATACAAATGGCTCGGTGTTACATTCTATTTACATGAGCTGCCAAAAGTCACTGCAGCAAGAAAAGAGTGTCATGGAATTGAGCCCTGCTGATTTAAGTAATACTCACTTCCTCTCCTATTTCATTGGCGAGAGCAAGGTGTATGGCTCTATCTAAGGATGAGGAGGAGAGAAGCACAGCCTGGCTTATGCCCAAAAGGGGAGGGAAACAGGACATTGGCGAAACGTGTTTCATGTCTGGTGAAAAAGTGATCTTGACTTCATTACCTTGAGACAAAGTGAGGGGCTGCTAGAGCGGGATGAGAATCCAGAACTCTGGTCATCCATTCTAGAACCCTTCTCCCTGGAGATGATACCACCATAAGGGAAATTAAACACCTACCGAGAGCTTGTGTTCCCGAGATCAACTCCACCCAGACTATGCCTCATGGAAACAGAGAGAAACATTAAGTGTAGTTTCATTTCACAAACTGAACACAATAAAGATACATTGATTCTGAGTTCCTTTTTGGGGGAGCATTTCATCTACATTGAGCTGAATATTTGTAGGGTACATTAAAATGCTTCCATGCCATGTAAAACATCAAAGCTCAATATATCTTCACAACAAGAGAATCAACACAAGTTTAGCTTTTGTGAAAAATATATCAGCAGTTGACTTTGAGACAAATTGTCAGGCAAATGCAATCACTCAGATCAGGCCTGGCCAATGGTTGGGGCCCATTAAATCTTTGTGGAATGAATGGATGAATAAACTCTATCCTCCAGCCAGCCCTATTGCATGTATTCATTCAGCAACAAATATTGAATGCCAGTGTGATACATGATTACCTTGGGGGCTCCCAGGGGAGCATCCCTCCCAGTATTCATACTCTGTGTAATGACCTTGCACATTCAACCCTGGGCTCGCTCATGTGACTTGCTTTGTCTGAGGGAACGTCAATGAGGATGACGCAAACAGAAGCTTGGTAAACACTTGTGCATTGGAGCTGATGCCACCAGCATGGGGGTTGGGGGAGATGTGGTCCAGCCTTCCTGAGGATGAAAGAACATAGGGAGAGAGCAGCTCAGTTATTATGGCTGTCCCAGCTGAACCCACCCTCCAGGTTCACCCTAGAGCTGAGTGAGCCCAGGAGAATGGCAGCAGAATGACATAAACCATAGCACTGTGAGATGCAGAAAATTCTTTGCGTAGGTCAGTGGTGAGCAAGTCTTTCCTGGAAAGGGGGCCAGATAGTAAATATTTTAGGCTTTCATACAATTTCTGTCGCGATGACTCAGCTCTGCCATTACAGTGTGAAAGCGGCTGATGGCGATATATAAAGAAATAGATATGGCTGTCTTCCAAGAAAACTTTATTCTCAAAAACATGCAGCAAGGCGAATTCAGCCATGGACCAGAGTTTACTGACCCTGTTTTAGGCCCTAAGTTTGGGACAGTTTGTTTTGCTGGGGTAGATAATGGAAATAACCTGCCATTTTCTTCTTTTTCTCCCAGGTGTCCTCGTTCTGGGAAATTTCCATGGCTATGACTTCATTCCTGATGACTCCCTGGGGTGGAATGCCCTCATTTCTCAGGCCTGGCCCTAGGAAAATTCGGAAGTCAGCAGCATATGTTTTTAGCTTCCCTGTCGAAAGGTTCTATGAGGGCTAAAAAGAAATGGTTGTGGAAGGTGCCAGCTCCTCAGTTCCAAATGAGTGGAGGAGACTCTCGTCCTGCCGCGGGACCCCCAGACTCCATAAAGTCTGAGCAAAATGACTTCAAGCTGCATAAGAGGCAGTGTCCTAGGAAGTGTCCTAGCCTGATGGTCTCGTTATGTCATTAGAAAGACTCAGTTGTCCCTTTAAAGTGGTGGCTTCTGACCCACAATCTACACATTGCTCAAAAGCCCTCAGATTTCCTGGAATTTCTACCAGAATTTCTAGAACTCTAAGTAATGGTCTTCAAAAATCAGAATTATTGCATAAGGAAGGGTTAATCATCAAGGAGATAGAGAAGCTGCCCTGTTATTATTTCTGTTCTAGTTGGCAGTATATCTGGTGCTGATTCTGGAATCAGGCTGCCCAGAAGCAAATCCTGCCTCCCATCCACTTAATCACTACATGACCTTGGGCAAATCATTTAATACTCTATGCCCAAGTTAACTCAGTTATAAAATGGTGATAATAATAGCATTTACCTTTATGATTTTTGTGATGATTGAATGATGTCATCCATGTAAAATATTTGTCACAGTGCCTGGCATATACAAAATATTCAGTAAATGGTAGCTTTTACAATTATTAACCCACTGCCAGTCAATTCAGCAGAGTTTCTGAATTCTGTAGATTTTTATAGAATATTTATTTCATTTCCTGAAGTGTTCTGACCTCCCCCTAACTCATTTATTTGCCTAAAAAAATTGTGGGCTAGGTAGCTCAGTAATAATCTCAATTTAAGGGGGAGGTAAGTGAGGTTGAGGTGTTAGGTATTCTTTTATTGTCCCAGTTATCTTTATTCTTGCCCAGGGAAGTGGTAAGAGACAAGTATCTTTGTCCCCATCCTTGTTCCATATACTCAGTTTACACGTCTGGAGGAAAGAGGCAGGGGCGTGGCAAGTACAAGAAATAACTACCATTTAAGTGTTGCAGGACAATTTCCCAAGAAGCATACTGAGATTTCCATGAAACAATTTCACTGGAAAGTGCTCTCTGGGTCGACAGCTGTGGGGAAGGGAAGGAAGCAGGAACAGGCAGAGGGAAGAGTTGGGGTGGGATTCAGATGCAACAAAGGTCTTGGTTATCCCACCAACTGACCAGTCACTGGGTGTGGGCCACCCCCAGTAAGGGGTGTGACCTGGGGCAAGGCTGCCATCTTTGTTTGAGAACAAGTTTCAGGATGGACACAGCTGTGAGCTTTCCGCTGTCACCACTCTGTGCTGAAGATTTTGGGGGTGATTTGGGTCTGTGACACATCCATGTCCACAACATACAGCTTCTATTGTGTGCCAGGCATAGTGCTATGGACCGTCATGTACATCACTTCATTCAAACCTCACAATGAACGTGAGGAATAACTTATGAAGACAGCTATGATACATTTAGTGCCTATATGTCCGGAGGTTTACTTTACAAGCTTTTAGTTCATGTAATTTTTTTAACAGCTCATCAAGGTTGGAATTGTTTTGTGCATCTGGTGGAAGGGAAATTTCAGAAGAGAAAATTGGAAGTTCTGAAAAGCCAAGTTAGTGCTCAGTACACGAACCCAGCTCTGTTTCATATTGGAGCCAGTGCCCATCCCACTGGGCAGTACTGACCCATTTTCCAGATGAGGAACTTGATGATTAGATTAGTGAAATTAAATGACTTTCCTGAAGTTCAGAGCTAGTTGAGGGCTGAGATGGGGCTTGAACTCAGGTCTGTGGGGTACTCTTTCTTAGGTACCATGCTGCTCTGGTGGAATGAGAAAGTTGTACATTGGGAAAAAGGAGCAAGACCATGACATACTGAGGAAATGGCAGCTGAGATGCAGCATAACTTCTCTTGAACTCTGTTAACTTCATCCTTGATGTTTCAAGGGCTTTCAGATGCTTCCTGACAGCGACAGTTTATGGGCTTTGAGAGTTTCACTAGGGCTGCTGAGAAGGCTTTAGGAAACTACCTCCCTGTTTTGCTCCCCACCCCCCCACTCCTGTATCAGCCCCTAGGACCTGGCCACGACTTCGAGGAAGTAGGTGGGGAGAAGCTAGAAGATCTTACCTGGGAGTGTGAAGTTACCAATGAAATCTGGTGCTTTTGGCTGTGCTCTTCGCTGTGTTGGCTTTCAGTTGGGGGGCCACTAGATGGCGTTCACCCTCCATTCCTGAGACTTCTGTTGCCAGAGGGGCTGGATCGCCTCCCTCCCTTCTTTCTTGTCCTGTATTAACAGTATTAATAGCAAATAGTTATTGGGAAGTTACTGTGTGCCCAATAAGTTACTATGTTAAGTTCTTTACATAAATTATCTCGTTTAATACTTACCATAACCCTTTAAAGTAGGTATTGTTATCCCTAATTGACAAACGAGGGTAAGTAACTTCCCTGGTAACAAACTTGTGTTGGCTGGGCGAGCCCGCGATTGAAATCAGGTTGTCTGACTTAGAGGTCTGACTTCCACCTTCTACCGGCTCCCCGGTCATTATATAGTAACGACAACCGAGTGTTTACTGTTTGCCACAGTGTGCTAAGTGGTTTGTAAAGTTTGCTTCATTTAAAACTCAAAATTTTCTCTCCCTCCCTCCCTCTCTCTTTCTCACACACACACAGATACAAAAGTATGTGAGGTGATGGATGTGTTAATGAACTTGATGGGGACAATCCTTTCACAATATGTATGTATATAAATTGTACATTTTAAATATCTTGTCAATTATAACTCAGTTAAAAGAACTCCATTGGATCCTGTGGGAAAAGCACTCCTATTCTCCTTCATTTAAAAACTTAGACAGCGAGGGGTGCCTGGGTGGCTCAGTCGTTGTTAAGGGTCTGCCTTCGGCGCAGGTCATGATCCCAGGGTCCTGGGATCGAGCCAGGCATTGGGTTCCCTGCTCAGCGGGAACCCTGCTTCTCCCTCTCCCACTCCCCCTGCTTGTGTTCTCTCTCTGGCTGTGTCTCTCTCTGTCAAATAAATAAATAAAATCTTTTAAAATATATTAAAAAAATTAAAACTAAGACAGTGAAAGACAAAACCATATGATCTCACTTATATGTGAGATCTAAAAAATAAAGCTCATAGATACAGGCAACAGATTGGTGATTGTCAAAGGCGGGGGGTAGAGGGTGGGCGAAATAGGAGAAGGGGGTCAGAAGGTACAAACTTCCAGCTATGGAATAAATAAGTCCCGGGGATGTGATGCACAGTATGGTGACTATAGTTAATAATACAGTAGTGCATATTCAAAACTGCTAAGAGAGAGGATCTTAAATGTTCTCATCACAAGAAAAAAAATTTTTGTAACCATGTATGGTGACAGATTGTAACTAGACTTATTGTGGTGATCATTTCTCAATATATACAAATAGATATACTTTTTTTTTTTTTTTTTTTTTTTTGCGAGAGAAGGAAGGGCAGAGGGAGAGGAAGAGAGAGAATCCCCAAGCAGACTCCCCACTGAGCATGGAGCTGCTGGGCTTGATCCCAGGACTCTGAGATCATGACCTGAGCCAAAATCAAGAATTGGACAGACTGAGCCACCCAGGTGCCCTAAATATATATATTTTTATTGAAGTATATGTTATATTAGTTACAGGTGTACAACACAGTGATTTGACAAGTCTATATGTCATTCTATGGAGCTACCATCTGTCACCATACAATGCTATTATAATACCACTGACTATTAAGTATTGATTTATTATGTTGTACACATGTAACTAATACAATGTTATATATCAATTATACCTCACTAAAAACATTAAAATAAAAGTGAGAAGATTGAGGGATAGAAAGGCTAATTGCCAAGTTACAGCTAGTAAGTGGTGGGGTCCCAGATTAGGATTCAGATTTGCTAGGCTGTGAATCCGAAGAAGGTCTACCCTCGAGGGTTCACAAAAAATGAGAATACTGGAGGACTTGGGTTTCAGAGTCACCCCAAGATTCTCTCTGTATGTACCTTCTGCCTCTTCTCAGCGGGCTTACTCTGCTGGGAATCAGCCCAAGCTTTGAGTCACATTTAGGTTCAAATCTTGGCTCCACTGTTTTCGGGCTCTGTGGGACTTCTCTCAGCTTTTGCCGCCTTGGTTGGCAACATGCAGACATTATGGTCCCAGTACCGTTCTGTTACTGTAAGCTCACAGGCCAGGCAGGGAGGGGGCATTCAAGAAATGGGGTCTCCTTCTCCTCTCTCTCAGAGTCCCCATGGCTGAAGGAGGCCCAGGAGGAGCATTGGGCACAACTTTTCCTAAGTGGTCAGAGGTCATTTAAGATTGATGCCACCTTTTCTGGAGATGCTGAGAGAAGCAATTATTTAATCCCTTTGTTTGTACATTTCCTCGATGTCTCTCTCCTTTTCTAGTCCAGCATCTGCCAATAGAACTTTCTGCAATGATGGAAATGTTCTCTATCTGTACTGCCCAATATGGTAGCCAAGAGCCACTTGCGGCTTTTGAGTACTTGAAATGTGGCTTGTGCAGCTGAGGAAATAAATTTTAAATTTTATTTGATTTAAATTACTTTAAATTGAAATAGCCAACGTGGTTATCTACTACTTTATCAGAGAACAGAGCTCTAGATGGTTCAGTGTTCAGTGCTGCCTCCTCAGAGCCTGGCATAGCATGTGCTCTTGGAAAGGGTTGGATAAGGAGAATAAAGTGTCACCCTAGGAAGTTAACAGTCTGGAGGCTCAATTAGGCCACCAGGTGTAAACTCAGTTACATTCATAATCTCTACTTTTGAATTAAAATCAGTGATCTGCGAAGAATACTGGCTCTTTCCATTTTTCCTATGGAGTCTCTCTTCCCTAAGGCTCTATCTCTCTCTCTCTTTCTTGTGGACCTAGTGTAAATTTTTCATCATCGTCATCATCATCATCATGATTCATTGAGCATATACTGAATGAACGAATTACATCATTTAATCAACAGAACTCTGAGGGAGATGATTATCTTACATCACATTTACTGAACATTTATTATGTACCAAGTATTCTAACTCTTTACATGTTCATAACCTCCCCAGTCTCCATGGGTAGGTGCAATTATCATCATCATCACTCAAATTTATAAATGAGGATGCTATGAATAGATGGGTCAAATAACTTGCCCAAGACTATCCAGCTAGTAAGCAGCAAAGCCAAGGTTTAAATCCTGGGAAACTGGGCTCTAGAAATTATATCATACTGTCAGGTTCTGAGAGTTACCATGTATGTATTAACTCTTAATCTTCATAATAACCCTATGAGATGGAGATTATAATGATCAGACCCATTTTACAGGTGAGGAAACTGTGGTTTAACAAGGTTAGGTAGCTTGTCCCCAGTCATACAGGTAGTTAGGGCTGGAGCCAGGATTTGAACCCAGGCAGTTGGACTTTAGTAGTCACCCTCAAAAACCAGTAGGGTGGAAATACTGGGTTGAATAGTGTCCCCCCAGTCATGTCCTTCCCAGAACCCCAGAATGTGATCTCATTTGGAAATAGAGTTGTTGCAGATGTAATTGGTCAAGATGAGGTTATAGTGGAGTAGGGTGAGCCCTTCATCTGGTGTGACCACTGTCCTTTTAAGTAAGAAGAGGAGAAGAGACACACAGATGCACAGGGGACATGGCCATGTGGAGGTGGATGCAGACATTGGAGTGACAGATCTGTGAGCCAAGGAATGGCAATGGTTGCCAGGAAAAGGATTCTCCCCTACATGTTTCCGAGGGAGCGTGGCCCTGCTGATACCTTGATTTCATACCTCTAGGCTCCAGAACTGGGGGAGAACAGGTGTCTGTTGTTTAAGCTATTCGGTTCGTGGCACTTTGTTCCAGCTGCCCTAGGAAACTAAGACAGTAGAGTACGCATTCCAGGATAGAGAAAGAGCAGACCATTCTGTAGCTTGCTCATCGGCACAAAGAAGCCTAAACTCTGAAGTCTTCCCAAGAGCTAAGGTCGAGGGCAAGTTTTGTGGAAGGCGGGGGAACAGGCAAGCGAATAGAAGAGGCAGCCTGACTGCCTCCTTCGATGACTGTATCTTTCTCACACAATCAGGAAGGTGCAGTGCTCGGTTGGCCCTGAGCACAGCTGTTAAGGTTCAGGCTTTGGAGGCAGACAGACCCGGGTTTACGCCAGGTTCCTACTACTACCTGGTGACCTTAAACACATTTCTAATGTCTCCAAGCCTCAGTTTCCCCCTCTGCAGAAGTGATACTCTTTAACGTGAGTGCCACTGGGAGGATTAAATGAGATACTATAAAGAATGCCCCTGGATGCCCATATTAAACCCTCACTGAATTATGGTTGTTTTTCTTCTGGGAGCTTACAGACTGAGGAAAGACAGGGCCTCTGGCCTACATGGTTTATGTTCCGGGGCTGAACTCAGTGATCAGAGGGTTGAACCTACAGTCGCCAAGGTCTTTTGCAGTTCTATAATCCACCCCTCTTTTTGGCCCTTTGCAGACTTAACAGCTGGAATCAATGAAATATTTTTGCTATACTCTTTTCTTTCCTAATCCAGTAGGTGGCAATACGCCTCCATCATTGTTCTTTATCCAGAATTTTCTCTTCAGCCCTAGTGCAGGCTGTGTTGCGGAGGGGGCCACTGCGAGTGGTTGAAACAATTCAGACTTAGGAGCCTCCTTTGGGAAACATTAAGCCCTCCTCAGGGCACAAACAGGCCTTCATCTCCTTCCCAGAGGGACTTCCCTAGAGTTTTTTCTGGTTATTTTTATGCCCAA